TCTAGACGACAAAGTTCGAAGCCCCTAAGTGTCAACTTATCACTAGGTTTTAAGTCGGTTTCCTGTAGACACAGGAGAGTGGGGTAATTGTCCTGTATCAATAGCTGTAGGTCAGTGAAATGAGTTAAGATTCCATTGCAGTTCCATTGAATTATTTTAACATCGGGCATGATTATGGAGTAGATAAAAGAATAACCTTTCATAGTTCGTACAAGCCATTGAAACAGAGTGGATTTTAGAATGTAATAGCGATATTGATTTAATTGAGATATAAATAAATAAATAGCTTGCGATATTAATGAGATTCAAATTATATGTAATAAGAAATAAATAACTTAATAAATAATGTAATTGTAGAAATAATGTGTTTTTGTCATTTTCGCAATGCTTTAGTAAAAAATTAGCCAATGAAGGAAGTTTATATAGGATGATACAATAAAATATTTGTAAATTAAAAGATGATATTATTAAGTGTAACATTTAATTTTACAATTAAATGTTAGAAAGCTGGAGTTTCTAAAATACATCGGTTGGTTAAAAAGATCTGGGTGAACGAGAAATTACCTGAAGAATGGAAAGAATCTATTCTTATTCCGATTCACAAAAAGGGTCCGAGGACGGATTGTAATAACTATCGAGGAATTTCACTCCTTCCGGTATGTTATAAAATATTCACTTTAATCTTAACCAGTCGAATCACGGAATACGCCGAGGAAATTATCGGAGACTACCAATGCGGATTTAGACGGAATCGTTCGACAATTGATCAAATATTTTCTTTACGGCAAATATTAGAGAAAAAATTGGAGTATAACGGTGTTGTTCACCAGCTGTATATAGATTTTAAAAAGGCTTACGATTCTATTGACCGCCAGAAACTGTATAATATTCTAGTTGACCAGGGGATTCCAAAAAAACTAGTAAATCTAGTCAGGATGTGCTTGACGAAGACACTCAATAAAGTTAGAATCGGTAATAATTTGTCCGAAAAATTTGAGGTTCGTTCGGGCTTAAAACAGGGGGATTCTCTTTCGCCTGTCCTGTTCAATTTGGCATTAGAACATGCCATTAGGGAGGTAATGCGAACCGAGAATGGGTTGGATCTGGGCGGGACAACATCCGTGCTGGGCTATGCTGATGATCTGGTACTATTAAGCGAAGACGTTGAAACTATAAAACTAAATACGACAACGTTAATGAAAGCCGGTAAAGAACTAGGACTCGAAATAAACGTGGATAAAACAAAATATATGGTTAGCTGCAAAAATGGCGATACTACTGGTGATATCAATATAGATGGTAATTGTTTGAACAGATAGATAAATTTAGGTATCTAGGTTCTACGATAACTAGAAAAAACGAAATTGAAGAAGAGATTAAGGTTAGACTGAAGGCGGGGAATGCTTGTTATTTTTCTATGACAAAACTACTTAGTTCGCGCCTCTTGTCCCGAAACTTAAAAATTAGAATCTATAAAACAATTATCTTGCCTACAGTCCTTTATGGATGCGAAACTTGGCCGCTTACATTAAGGGATGAGCAGCGTCTTAAGGTTTTTGAAAATAAAGTATTGCGTAGAATATTCGGACCGAAGAAGGATGAGTTAACCGGAGAGTTCAGACGGTTACACAACGCCGAATTGCGTGAGCTGTATCCGGGTAATATAATTGAGGTAATTTCATCGCGGCGAATCAAATGGGCTTGTAAAGTTGTTGGGCTTAGTAACGAGAGAATTCCTAAAAGGTTAATATTTGCTGTGCCGAATGGTAAGCGTCCGAGGGGTAGACCGAAGCGAAGGTGGGAAGATTGCATTAAAGCCGATCTGAAGGGACTGGGTTTGGACGGCGAACGGTGGAGGGAGGTGTGTAACAAGCGATTGGTGGTGTCGGCATCGAACCTTCGGGTTCGCTAAGCCTTATTATTATTATTATTATTAACATTTAATTTTAAGGGTTAATCAACAGTTAACTTTTTAACTTAATTTTTTTTCCTTCCTTTTTTATTAATTTGTAGCTGATAACCATCAGCATCCGTTTGCCCGGTGTCTTCGTCATTCAACATAGAGCAGTCCGGAGATGACTCACCCGCCTCCAGAGCCCGATCAGCTAGTTGCTCTGCTGGTGGGAGAGGTGTAGGAGTAGTGGACCGTGAAGTCCGGATATAAGGATGAGGCATGGTATTAGAAAGAGAAGAGAATGCAGGTGGCGGAGGGTTGGGTGGGACAGAAAAGATGAGTAAAGAGGAAGAGCTGGATGAAAGAGAAGAAGTGGGGGAGGGGGGGTAGTGAGGAAGAAGGGATCAAAGAATTGGAAGCAATAAGAGAGGAAGAAATGGAAGGAAGAGTCGGGGTGAATACAGTTAAGGCCATCGCCTCCGTTCCGACCGATGTTGAACGCGGTCTTGTAGTCGACATGTCCTCTAAACCTTTAGGTGTAGTAGTCGAAGGGGTAGCAAAAGTGAAGTTCACTTGAACTCCTATATCTTTTTTTTCTGAGCATTTTGTGGCTTCTGCATATGATTTTAGGAATATACCTGGATTTATTTTTTTAAAATATTTTTTGCCTCTATATATGAGATCTTATTATTAGATTGAATCGCCTAAATTTTTTTTTGTAACTTAAAAATGGGGCACCTTTGGTCCAAGGCGGAATGATTCCCCTTGCAGTTAGTGCAGCTCGGAGGCAATGAGCAGATCAAACTATCGTGGTGTCGGGGCTGACCACAGTTAGCACATAGTGTGTTTTTTTGCATTGTTTAGTCGGGTGTAAAAATCCCAAGCAATTATAACATCTATAAGATTTTGGTTTATAGGGTTCAACATTGACTGTTAAAAATCCTATTTTAAGTGTTTTTTCGGGAGGCTTGGGGGTAGTAAAGGATAATATGTAGGTATGAGTAAATTTTTCCTCAACATTTTTCTTAATTTTAATTCTTAAAATATCTGTTATTATATCTTTTAGTTATTCCTTTATTTCCTCCATCGTTGCGAATTGCAGATCATAACATTGGATTACGCCTTTTGAATAATTGACTGTACGATGAGGACTAACCTCTATTTCAAATTGACCTCTAAAATTCGTATTGGCCAATAACGTTTCCGATTGTTTTGCGTTGGTGGTTTCAATTAACAAATTCCCATCTCCAAGTTTTCGTATGTTTTTAACACTACCAACAGCGTTAGTAATAACCTTATTAATAAAAAAAGGTGAAATATTTTTGAAATTGTCTTCACCTTTCCTACTCATTACTAAGTAACTTGGAGTTACGTTGTTACGATTGTTATCTGATAGATTAAAGTTGTCGAGGGTAGATTTTACTCTGCCTCTTTTCCGCCGTTTTGATCAGTACCGTTTGATGAGTTGTGGGTGGATCAGTACCGTTCATTGTTAGGTTACGTAATTAATGTTGAAAAAGATTCCAAGAATCAGTAAAAGAATTAGTAAACAATAAAGAAATTTATAATTGTATATAGTTATGAGATTAACTTCACTATTATAGATAAATAAAGAATTTAGGAACCAAACAAAAATATGAAAAATAAATAAAACATTTTTGGGCTCATCTGGCTGAAGTTCTTCAACAAAACAGCTCCAGTCACTTCAAAGGTACTTTTGGCACTGAATGTACTTATTTTACAAACAATTAACTTTGAATTTACTTCTTAAAAAAGCAAAAACTGAGAGAGAAAAACGTAACCTTTACAAATACTATGATACCATGATAAGCAATGACGTACTTATTTAATTGCTTATAACTTCCGTTATGAGGTTGCCGGGCAAACGGCGGTTTGGTGCACACGCGTTAGCCTGCTCGGCCCGCCCCTTAGGTGTGGGTATTACATAACGAGACTAATATTGTAAAACATTTTATCTTAATGTCATACATATATACTTATAATATTACTTTCACTGTACACCCCCTCCTCTATCCTTACTACTACCCATGGGAACCTTCCATTTTATAAAACAGTACTGTAAGTCTTCTTCTGTCATCTCTTTCAGGGCACGTGCCGCTTTCTCATTCAGCGAGAACGTGAAAGCAGTAATGTTGATTAATAGATTGATCTTCAAAAACCAATTGAAGATGCACAATTCTGTTAATATCGAAAAAAAAAAATCATCATTGCTTTGAATTTTGGTTTGCTCTTTCGAGTTGGACTCTTCCACTGCGTGGATTGGTGCTTCGTTTCAGAATCATGAATTAAAACTACGATTCGTCAATGTTAAATGTATACAATTAAATTCATCACCTGGAACACGATAGTAGCGCCATCTATTGGCCGTCGTTGAAGAAGAAAGATCTATTGACAGTAGATATCAACCTAAGGCCTGTCTTAGGCCCTATACAATGTGGTCGAAGTGCAGCTGAGCAGGTGGAAAAAGCACGGAAGGTATTCAAGTACTTGAATACCTTCAGTGCTCGAAACACACCCTGATGATGAGCCACATCCACATGTTTGGGTTGCAACGTCGGCACCAATAAAAACTTTATAATGACTGCTTCCTGAATATTTATCAGCCATGATATGTAGAACAGTCGACTATCTTCCTTCAGTACTTGTATTTACTGTATATGTAATTTTTCTTTAATTAAATCTAAATTTTGCTTTATGCTATGTTTTAATTTATTTTCTAGATCCATTATTGATACAATTTCAGATAAAGTCTAAAATAAAATTTATACTGAAGGCGATAATAATTAAATATATATGAAATAAAAATAAAATGTTTTACAGCATCAATATCATTATTTCATCCCACACCTCGCAGGTTTGTATTCATATGTATCCTCAAGCCAATATATTTTTCCTTGCTACTTTTGGATCTTCCATCACGACCCTTTTTGGATCATATCACGCTGAAGTTTAGACTTTTTTTAAGGATTAAACATTACTGCATGTATTTCTTCGGGTATTAAGGTTTTCGCACTTCTGCTCTGTGGAATTTCTATTAAAACGAAAACCAAAAAAACAAACACAAATATCATAACATTTTTTTATCATTCAATTAAGCTTAAATTATAGCATAAAAACTTCTTTGAAAGAAGACAAGTATATTTAAAATTTCGATTACAAACATATTCCATCTCTCACAGACTTACCGAACCTTCCCTCAAGGGTATCTGTACATTGTCATCAGTCTTAGGTTCGGCATCAACCTGACCTCTTCGGGAAAGCCTGTGTCAGTCCTGTCGACGGCCCTGAAGATGAGTTCTTCCAGGTTGGGCAGAAAGACCGGTAGGAGGCGGAAGGCCTCGGAGATGACCGACTTGGTCGAGAAGAGGTTAATCTTGGTGAGACGGGTGCACTTGATGATAACGGCAGCCACTCCGGCGTCCGTGATGCCGCGGCAGCCGGGAAAACCCAGCTCCATCATGACAGGGCAGTTGTCTGCGATCGTCCGCAAGACCAGGTCGTCCACCGAGTAGCTGTTGGACACCACCACGTGGGTCAGGTGCACCATACTCGAGGACCCGAGGACCTCCGACCAGCACTGCGACGTGATCGTGCGCGGTATCGTGACCACCAGCTTCTCCAGCCTCTTCAGCCTGTCATCATCCACATTATCTCAATACCTAGCAACATCATCAACATCTTTTACTACACAGTATTTCATAACTAACCTAACCTAGAATTGTGTTACTGGTTGTTCTTCAACTTCTTACCTATTATGTTCATGTTTACAGTGTAATCTATTTTTATTCCTAAGTCAGTAAAAACGACTACTGATAGAGGAGCCACTATTATTTGGTAGGAATCAATGCTGATATATTTCTGAAAATGGGTCTCTCTGGGCACCCTTGGAATGCATCGCCTAAGTTGTGCCATCAAGATTTTCAAGGAATATATTTTTATGGAGTTTCGAATTTGATTAAAACATTTTAATGAGATTATGAATTTTCGGAAGGTATCATATTTCAAAGCACACTCCAGCAACAGGAACAGACACTGCAAGCGTAATTATATTTGATCCACAGTGTTTCCAATTCTACTTTCCCTTACACTGCTTTTAAAAGGAAAACAGTAAAATTTCTTAGAATTTTTAGTATATAATTTCTGCCATGTTTTAGTATGATGTTTTATATTCTATTTTTATATCTTATGAAGCTTGTTACTCAGTTCACAATTGAAGCCAAAATACTCGGTTTCAGAGATATCGTAAATTTTCGTCATTACATTTTAAGAATACTTTTTGATGGCCAAATAGTAAAACATAAGTAAATATTTTAAATTCAGTTCATTATTAAGTCCAAATTAATTTACCAAGTCTGCTGAAGTGTTTTTCATATTTTTTTTTAATGTTTTGAATAATTCCTACCCAGTTGAAGCCGGTGTTCCTCAAGGTAGCGTCTTGGGCTCCATCCTTTATATCCTATTTACCACTGATATCCCTGTCCATCCCAATATCTTCCTGGCAACATTTGCTGATGATATCGCCATCCTTTCATACAACTCAGATCCCGAAATAGCATCTTTGAATCTGCAAAGGCACCTATCCCTGATTAATAGGTGTAATAAATGGCGCATCAAAGTAAACGAATCCAAATCCAAGCACATTACCTTCACACTCCGACGCAGTTCCTGTCCATCAGTCCAATTTAATTCCATCCAGCTTCCTTTTTCAGACACAGTTCGGTATCTTGGCTTTATCTTAGACCGAAGACTAACGTGGAACCCACATACTAAATTTAAAAGTCAAGAACTTAACCGACGATACGGCCAATTATACAGACTACTGTCTAGAAGATCAAAACTTTCAATTGACAACAAATTACTGATCTAAAAGACAATCCTGAAACCTATTTGGATCTACGGACTTTAACTTTGATGAACAGCAAAATTTTCTAACATCAAACGCATCCAATCCTTTCAATCCAAAGTCCTCCGAACAATAGTCGATGCTCCGTTCTATGTAATTAACAAAACACTACATCATGACCTCAATATCCCATTTGGCCTTGACCTTATCCCTGAAAAATTGTTCAAATTCCATCAGAACCTTGTCAGTCATCCAAATTCCCTAGCACAATCCCTATCTAGTTCCACTCATCCCTACAACCCTCCTCGAAGCCTGAAGGCAGCGGCCCAGAGATCTTTTATAGTATATATATATATATATATATATATATATATATATATATATATATATATATATATATATAAGCAATGGCCAGATTCTCCACTCAAGACATGAACGTATGTGGCTAAAGTGCTCTCGCTCAAACTCCACTGGCTTTAGCACCAGTGACGCGGTTGAGAGAGTAGCTCAGGGATCTCTTGGAGTCCTGCTTTTTCTTCTATAGTTGGAGAGAGAAGTCTGGTTTTGGGTTCCCAGCCTGATTGTATATATTGTATATAGGTATGACTGTGTTTTTATGTTTTTAATTTACTTATCTTTAGTTTTAGTTTTTTTATTGTACATAGTTTTTTTATTATTATTTAGTTATTATTTTACTTTTGTTAATTTTGTATTTACTGTATATATATATATATATATATATATATATATATATATATATAAGATAAAGACCGGAGACTGGCGATATCAGCCTTAATACCATCTTGTAATGTAAATAAACATAGCGATTGTATATAAGGCAGATTATTGGACGAATAAAGCAGTGTTTATTCAGAAGCCGTGACTATTGTTTCTCGTTCCTCTTTCCTTCTTTTTTTTTATCTTTAAAGCCCGGAGACGCTTAACTGGTGCCGAAACCCGGGAGAACGTCAGGAGAACACGGAAGTAAAAATTTTTTTTTCTGTCTTTATTTTAATTTTTGTTTCTCTTCTCCTAGTCATAAGGAAAAGACGAGATGCCGACAGAGGGCATAATTCGACCAGGAGTGTTGAACGCACCTGAAATGCCGCAACCTCAGGAAATGCCGATAGCGCAGATTCCTCAGATCGCCCCTCAGGTTCCGCAGATTCCGCAGATACCTCAGATACCTCAAGTACCGCAGATACAAGAGATCCCTCCCTTACCTAGGGACACATTGGCAGAGGCGCATGCCAATGCATTGGAGTGGATGAAGATAAGGGCAGCGACCACGCAGGATCTACGGAGAGCAATCGCAGACCTGGAGCGATTCGGGGGCGAGATAGGTGAACTTAATCACTTCCTGAAAGGCGGAGACCGCCTCATATCAAGAATCGAAGCAAAGGTGGCGGAGGACCTCGTGAACCGGGGAGACGCAGAAGCACTGAAGGCAGCTCTCGTGTGCCGAGTGAGGAGGAACATCCTCAACCAAATCCAAGCGGACGAGGAGACACCATGGCCAGTGATTAAGGAGCGTTTGAAGAAGGCTTTCGGAGGGGGCCGATGGACGCCGGAAGAAGATATCTTCCAAATGTTTAGGGAGTGTCGGTCCCAACGCCAAACAAGAGGACAGTATGCGGGGGTACTAGTGGCGAAGTACAACCGCATAACTGAGAAAATGCGTGAAACCATGAGTGTGGGAGAGGTCGAGGCTAGGATGGAATTCCTTTCGACAATACTCAAGGTTCAGTTGGCTAAGGAGACTGGGAGAAGGGACGGACTGCCTAGAGAGCGATCGTTCCTCGAGTGTGCCCAAGAAATGATAGATCTGAGTGCAAGAGAGGAAGAGACGCGGATGGAAATAGAAGAACCAGGGTGGACCCGAGTGAGTGACAGACGACCCCGGACAGCCCAGATAGGGTGGAGGAAGAGGGAAATGAAACACCCGAACGGAGAAAAAGCCACGACGGGCGAGAGAAGATCCGGACAGTCCAGGCCTAGGAATGGACCCCGGAGGGAAGACCGAAAATGTCACGGGTGCGGGAAACCGGGACATTTGGTAGCACAATGTCCGCGCACTAGATGTTTCGAGTGCGGGACTGAAGGGCATATTGCCAGACAGTGCCCGTACATGTTTCGCAGGAGAGAGAGACCTCTAGACGAGCCAATGGAGGTGAACGCTCAAAAGTTAAAAAAACGAGCTAGGATGCAGCAGAGAGACGGATCTTCGGAAGAGGCAACCGAGGAGTCGGGGACGTCGGGAACGGAGACTGACGAGCCAGCCAGCAGTGGAGGCGAAGGAGGCAGGAGCTGCCAACGGAGCGAGCAACGACGAGCGACGGCGGTAAGGAGGAAGCGAGGTGGCATCTGAGAAGGGTGTCAGCAGAGAGGCGACCGCACAGCAACCTGCAACAATATTAGAGGTAAGCCATGCTGGTTGCCGATTATTGAAGTAGATGGGGGAGTGAAGTGTCTCGTGGACACAGGGAGCTCGAGTACTATCTTGACTCGGGGGGCGTTGGGGAGAGTGTGCGGGAGCGAGAGGGTACTCCGGATACAAAACTGTGGCTGCCAGCTAATCACTCTGGGTGGTCCCTGTAAAGTAGAAGGGGAAGCGTCAATTACGCTTGACCGGTGGGCAGGGAAAAAGGGGGAGCTAAGGGTGCATGTGGTAGAGAGCATGGCGCGGGAGTACCAAGTCATAATAGGGTGTGATCTGTTAGGACAGGTAGGGGTAAGCATTAGAAACCGTAGAGGAGCTTGGAGTATCAGGCTGGGAAAGAGGAAATTTGGATGTATAGGGGTCGCGAGAGAAAGAAGGGTGCGGATAGGAGCGGTGAACAGGGTGGAGGACTGGAGAAAGGCGTTACAAGCGGAGTTCGTAGATATTTTCTTCAGGGAGGGCGAGGTATTGGGGGTAACAGGGAAGACGGTACACGAAGTTCCACTGAAGCAAGATAGGGTGACCTACGTAAAGGAAAGGAGATACCCGCAGGCGATGAGGCAGCATATTCGGGAAGAATTGGAAAGCCTGAAGGAGCAAGGGATCATAGTCGATAGCACCTCGCCATTTAATAGTCCCCTGTGGGCAGTGAAAAAGAAGGCAGCGCCGGGGGATAATAAGGAAAAATACAGAGTGGTAGTGGACTATCGTAGGTTGAACGATAACACGGTAGACGAAAAGTACCCGATCCCTAGATTCGAAGATATACTTGATAGGTTGAGTGGGGCCGTGGTGTTTAGCACGTTGGACCTCAAGGCGGGATACCACCAAATACGGATGCACCCGAAGGACCAACATAAGACGGCGTTTACATTCGAAAGGGGGCATTACGAATTCACCAGAATGCCGTTTGGTCTGAAGAATGCGCCCATAACGTTTCAACGCCTGATGGACGAATTTCTGAGGGGGATCGACGACTCCGTATGTCAAGTATACATGGACGACCTGCTGATTTTTAGCAGAACGGAAGCCGAACACGTGGGGCATTTGAGGTCGGTATTCGAAAGGCTGCGACAATTCGGGCTGAAACTGTCAAGTGAGAAGTCCCTGTTGGGACAAACGCGAATCAATTTTTTAGGCCACACTATTTCTAGCGAGGGGGTCAGACCGGATGCGGCAAAGGTGGAGGCTATCACACGAATGGCGGTGCCACGGGACGTTAAAGGGATTCGTAGGCTTCTCGGGACGCTGAATTATTATAGGAGATTCGTACCTGAGATGGCAGAATACTTGGTACCTATCAATAACTTGCTGAAGAAAGGCGCGAGGATCGTGGTGACACCGGAAATGGAAAATAATATTCGGAAATGCATGGATAGGTTGCAGGCAGAACCCGTATTGGCGTTCCCGGATTTTGAGAAGCAGTTCAACGTCACCACCGATGCGAGCGAATACGCGTTGGGGGCCGTTTTATCCCAGGGCAGAAGTGAGGGTGAACGTCCGATAGCATACGCGAGCCGACGGCTTACGAGCGCGGAATCACGGTACAGCGCGTTAGAGAGGGAGCTACTCGCGATAGTGTGGGCCATCGACCATTTCAGGCCATATATATTTGGGAGGAAGTTTCGAGTCCACACCGATCACAAACCCCTTCAGTGGGTAGGAAAACTTAAGGAAACCTCTGCGAGGGTCACGAGATGGAAAGAATTCCTTAGTCAGTACAACATGGAGGTGGTGTATAAGCCGGGAAAGGAAAACGTGGTGGCAGACTGGCTCTCTAGGGCCATCATGATCAACGCGGTAGAAGCGGACGGAGGAGGTCCATCGCGGGACGTGCGCCAATTCTTGAGGGAATGGACTCCTGAGGGTGAAGGGGCAGATGATACCGTCAGTATAGAGGACAGGGAGGGGTCCCCGGAAGAAGAGAGCTCAGCGGAGGAAAGACCAGAGGCGATGGAGGAAATAGACGAAATCATCAACGACAAGCATAGACAGGTAATCTGGAAAACCAGGACAACAGGGATCATGAAAATAGATTACCGAAGATACGGGAAAAGTAGGATTCGCGTCATTTGGTCGCAACCCGGGGTGAGCGAGGAGCAAATCCGTACGGCACTGAAGGACGCCACGGAACCGGGAAAGACACCCCATCACTATGTTGGGAACAACACGGTATGGGAGAAAATAAAGCGGATGTGGAGATCCGAGCGGATAGGCATGGATAGAACGATCATCCGGTGCAAGTATGCAGTGGAAACCGTACAGGATGAGGAGCAGCAACAAGCAATTACTTTGGCATACCACCAGGGGAAGACCAACCACCGAGGCGTCAACGAGACGTTGCAGGCATTACGGCGAAAGTATTTCTGGTGGGGAATGAAAAAATCTATCCAAGGAATCATCGGGAAATGCGAGGTATGTATGCGCACAAAGTATGATCGACACCCCCCCAGAGGAGTTCAGGAAGAGACACCTACAGGGAATATGCCGCTACAAGACCTCCAGATCGATACATTCACCTGGAAAGGGTTCAAGTGGGTCACGATCATCGACACCTTTAGTAAAGTAGCTATGGCACATCAGGTCATGGACAAGTCTGCCAATGCAGTTGCGGAAGCCCTACAAATCTGGATACAGTTTTACGGAGTTCCCGAGAGGATCACATCAGACGGTGGTAGAGAATTCGACAATACCGCGATTAGGGAGGAGGTGAAAAGGTTAGAGGTTGTGTGGCATTATAACACACCGGGACACCCTAAGAGTAGAGGAGGAATCGAACGCTTGCACAGCACGTTGAGTGACCACATCCGTGTATATCAGGGAGAGAAAGGGTTGGAGCCGGATGTTGCGATGAAGAAAGCCGTAACAGCTTACAACCATTCGATCCACTCCGTAACGGGGTTTTCACCTGTGGAAATACTATTCGGGATGCGCAGGCCAAGGAGAGATTGGGGGGAAACAACGACCAATGAACATCTCGTAGAGCAAATCCAGAATACTAGGGTAGAGGTAGGAAAGACGTGGGGGAAGGTAGCGGGGAGAATTCAGCGGGAAAAGGAGAAGCGGGTAGCGCGGCAGAATGTGCAGGTACGTGACCGAATGGGAGAATTAAAAATCGGAACAATAGTGTATCGTAGAATTGGAACCAACAGAGGGAAACAATTGTTACGGTACGAGGGCCCATTCAGAGTGGTTGCTATTAGGGAGCATAATCTGGTAACCATTGAAAGCATTAACGAACCTAAGAAGAGGAGAACTGTTCATATTGAACAATTGAAGCTCCCAATGTTAGAACCGGTACAGAAACCAATTGATTCGTAGTACCCTTATCGCGTATTATAAAAAAATATGTTTTTTTTTATTATTATTACTGTTGATGATGTCATTTTTTTTTAATTATTTTTGTTGTTCTTGTAAATAAAGATATGGCAGCATAATAGAGGTGATTGTAATTTTTATAGGATTAAGAGTTCTGTTCCATTGTTAATAAGACGTTGTGTGTTTACTTTCTGTGGTTTATTTTTTTTGATTTATTTCTCGTTCCAGCGGAGTGGAAGTGAGGTTTGGTGTACTTTAAGTTTATACTGGTACAAATAATTGTAAAGGGTTAAGGCTGATACCGGTGGCTCCGATCTGGGAATTTATAAGTTTCCGAAAATCCTATTCGTAAACTGGTGGGGGGGAGATAAAGACCGGAGACTGGCGATATCAGCCTTAATACCATCTTGTAATGTAAATAAACATAGCGATTGTATATAAGGCAGATTATTGGACGAATAAAGCAGTGTTTATTCAGAAGCCGTGACTATTGTTTCTCGTTCCTCTTTCCTTCTTTTTTTTTATCTTTAAAGCCCGGAGACGCTTAACTTATATATATATATATATATATGGTGTGAATGTGTTAATTTATCATTATAATTATTGTCCACGAGACAAAATATTATATATCTAAATAAATAAATAAAAATGTATTGAATGGGGAAAATTCCTGTTCGGAATTATTTACAACATTGTGAGATCCAAATATGATTTTCTTTGATATTTATATTTTAAATCTTACTATTTTTACAGCATTGTATCAAGGATGCTGTTTCGTTAATTGAAATATATTTCATCACATTAAACTGTATTCTATGAATTAACAACAAATAGAGTCAGTTTCGGAAATACCAATTTATATATTGCCAACAAAGAATATTTCACGTCAACGTCGGATAGGGAGCGTAAAGTATGGGAGTGCTGCGAAATAAAAGATTTGTAAAAATAAGTTTATTTGAAAGATTATAAAAGATTCCGAAGAATTTCAAATTACTGATACAAGAAATTGAATGTCTACAGAAAATTGGAAGAGGTAGTCCCTCCCTACAACAAAACTTGGTCCAATAGGAAGACCGAAAAAATAGAGGAGGGGAAATTTGGATGAAAATAGATTTCAATGAAACAAGGAGAGTCTGGTGGAGAACTTGGAAGCAGAGCTAAAGCGAATAGAAAAACTTGATGCCTGGAAAGCTGAGAAGGCAGTAGATGCAGTCAACCAGCTACAGAGAAAGGACATTAGCAGCACCGGAGACCAGAAAGAAGTAGTTGAAGACTCCATTACATCCTTTCAGTTGCAGTTAACAATATCCGTTCAAAACCTACTTATGCAAATCTGTTTTGGCATTCTATAAAATAGTAAGGTTATCAATCTTGCCTATATTAGCATTCTAAATGCAATGCATTTAAGATATTAAAAATCAGAAATAATTATTTTTTTGGATTAGAATTAGATTTTTAGCATTTTTCCTTCATGTCAGTATTTAGATCAAATAGTAAATTGATAACACGATATCCTTGGAAAGGATATCTGATAGTAACTATAACCTAATCTACTCTATCGCAGCAAAGGATGATCTATGGTATCTAGCCTTGTTTATTAGTATATTTGTAGATAGATCGGTTCCTTTCTGTAGCTAATTGTAGAAATATGTTAAATACACATGAATGTCTCCAAGCTCATACTCGTCTTAGAAAAGCAATAAGCCAGAAACGTAACAATATATTGGTATCAATATGACGTTTACTACAGGCATGTAATGTCACCATATGATATATATACAACAAACAAGAATACTTTACAATAATTGTTGTATAAGGGTATCTTACCTGGCTAACTGAGACATGGATTCGTCTTGAACCATCACCATCCTATAGAGATGGAGTACCCTCAGGTTCGGAAGCGTAGCGAGGGCCTGGAAGATAGCTCCAGTGATACCAAGCATGTTGAGCTTGAGGATGTGCAGAGTGTCCATCTTCCTGATTAGGTCGTCCACCGGAGGGTCTGTGTAGGGAGTCACTGACCTGAGCCAAGGTGAAACAGACCAGTATCTGATACTGTCATACTTATGTAATCATTTGTATGATGAAACTATGATGGTGGCTTTTAATGCCACAAGGTTCTGTCTCTAGATTACAGACCGTGGACCGGTATACATTATTTAAAATTTACAGAAGTTTATACTGATTGTTACTGCTATACGATTTTATTACCGAGATTTGTACACAAAAGTAGTTTAAACAACTCGGTGATGTTTGGACTTGACTTTGCAATAGTTTTAACACATTAGAAAACAGAAGATAAAATATTACAAGTCTTCTATAGTGATCGCATAGAATACAAACATGATATGAAAAAACATTTTTTTGTTTATGGGTCGTATTGATAGTCATCGGAGTGAGATGGTGCGATTTTAAATCCGTTTCATAATACTCAGAACACGGGTTTGAGTGTTTTTGGGATGATCTATATACATAACATGTATATGTATAAACATAAATCCTTGAAACACTTTTTTAAGTTCATAAAAGGATTCTCGAAAGGATATAAGATACATCCCCAAGTTGGAAAACCATTGAATTTGAGGGTTGAAAATTTTTATATCAATTGAGTTGGGCATTACTGACTTTTGGGAGTTTCAACTATTTGTCATTAAATAGTACCTCCGGTTTGGCAAAGATAGGTTTTAGACATGGACATGGACATGGGTCACACATTTAAATAACTTTTTTTGGAGATTTAAGGTCGGAATAGTAGAGTGCTCTTGCTAATGCACTATAGGAGCCCCTAGACAAAAAACTGTTAGATACATTTATTTATTTTTATATTATCGTTTTTGTCTTTGCTGTGCATAGATTTCTACGTATTTGAGGTTAAACTCTTAACTCTTAAAAAACGAATTCTTATTGATATAAAAAAATATAAGTTTTGGGATATTTGATTGTCTCCAATTAAATTCGTTGGGAAGCTGAATTACAATTTATACGTATGCGGTTATTTGGATTACTGTTTTCTGCAATTTGCACTTGTTTTATGATATTACCCTAGCTAGAAAATACTAAATAAGATGTTATCAACTGACCCAATCCTATTGAAAGAGATGCAATAGATACGAAGCTCCTTCAGCTTGGGCAGCCCTTGGACCAGACTGAAGAGGCCTTCAGTGTCCAACTGGATGCTATGGTTGAGGTTGAGGGCCTCCAGTTTACTGGTGGCTGGTCCCAGCTCCTTGAAGACATAGTCAGGGTTGTCGAAAGTTACCCTTTTCAGCGTCAGGTCTCTGCAAGCAATTCATCATTAGTCTGCTTCACCTTCACGTATCTTAATTTCTGAGAATCACATTTCATTCATGTGGCGAATACTGACTTGAGATTCCTGAGTGATTGGACACAGGATACGAGCACCGGGCCTTCGACCTCTGTGTACCTGGCATCCTTACTTGCGTACACCTTCAACCTCTCGAGCTTCGTATTCCAGATTGCCACCTCGTTCAGCAGTTCGTTAATGTCAGCGCGTGACAGCAACTTGAGGCTGTGGAGCAAGGGAGCCTGCCGTAACACCTGAAAACATCCAAAACTTATTTATATTTCATTCTTGATATTAATTATAAAACGCAATATATTATATACGGGTCAATGGAACTAGGCATTAGCGACAATTGAAATTTATCAAATCAGGAGACTAGATAGTGTAGGAATTTCTTAACGGTTACACGTGGATGAACGATGGAGACCTGAAGGGTTAGATTAGAATGGAAAATATCTGTATTATGTGACAAAGTCAGGGTTCATCTTGTGTTTCATACAGAGCTGTCATTCGAAATTGTATCGTATAATGAGTTATTATTTATAATTTACATTTCATATTATTAATCTCACCTTGTTGATATTTTCACTTCTATCGTGTGGTCTAAAGCACACACCTTAGTTTTTTTTTTTAATTAATTTTATTTTAGGGAGAGGAAGTATTGGTATAAATTAATGAATAATTAATAATTAAAATAATGAATAACCTAAAAGTTATTTTAGCATGTAGTTATTTATTTATTTTTTAATTATCTTTTGGTTTCCTTATAATTTATCTTATGTATTTTTGATTTTTTTTATTACCTTCTTAAGTTATTCATTAGAAAAAATTTAACTTATAAATTATATTGAATTATTGAAATTATAACTATAATCATGTAATTTATAAGTTTTAGAAGAACTGTAATGGTTCCTTTAATTAGTACATCGCATTAATGCGTAAGAAAACATGTAAAATTAACATTACACTGCCTTCAAACAGTGTTACTATATGAGGGAAGAAGATAAAAATAAACAAAAAAACTTAAAAGGTTAAAATTAAAAAAAAATCATAAACTAAAATATTTTCTATTATATGTACCTATAATACTATTTTCGAATCACTATTTTTAAAGATACAAAATAACAAATTCATGCTTTGTCCAGGAACAATAAATAACGGAATTGCATAAATGCTGACATCATTGAAACATTATATAACAATAAAAAGTAGAAACGATAGGGGGCCTGTACAATACAAAAATAACTAGTGATTTGTTTTCCACAGTTGTTTTTTTTTTATCCTTAACATAGGTCATCGTTGTATAACAATTCTTTTTATTTTCATACCGCTACTTGGTAATAAAATCATTGTAAACGGGACAAGTTTTCGATGTATCGTTTTCAACGGGAATGCATATTCATGTACTAATTTGTGCAATAAGCAACATTTTTCTATACAAACATTTAAAGTCTTTTTCTTATTCTCAATGCAATATTATAAAAGTATTTAAGATATTAAAAATCAAAAGTAAGTTTTTGGATTAGAATTTGATTTTTAGCATTTTTCTGCACGTCAATATTTAGGTCAACTAGTAAATTGATAACAAGATACCCTTAGAAAGGATATTTGATAGTAACTCTAACTTAATCTACTATATAAAAATTCTTTTCATTTTCATATTACTTTGTTACTTGGTAATAAAAACATTGTAAACGGGACGAATTTAAGAAGTACCGTTTTCAACGGAAAAATGCTTATTCATGTACTATAGCCCGTGGTACAGATACCTTTTTATCAAATTATTAGTATCCGCCTGAAACTTCGTAAATAGTTTCATCCCATCGTAACCTACAGCTATTTTATTTACGAAAACTCTTGGAATTTGGGAGCGTTTTCAATCTGGATGGGGACAAACTTTGTCTACATAATCAGGCACTAAAAGTTAGTAAATACCCATTTCCTCTCTACCTGGATCTAAACATAATTTAATCACAAATTCGATAAAAAAAAGGTGGCTTTCAAAAATATATAACGTCGTTATTTTAGAAAATTGGGGATGTAGGTCATGCCAAACGGCTCAATATTTTTAAGGCCACTTTTTTATCGATTTCGTGATCAAATTATCAAATCCAATCCAAGTATAAAGTAAATGAGTATTCATGAATTTTTTAGTACCTACCTAATTAAATAGATAAAGTTTCCAACCTCCCCTATTCCATGAGTTTTCGTAAATAAAATAGTTGTAGGTTACGATGAGATGAAACTATGTACGAAGTTTCAGGCTGATGTTAATAATTCGATAAAAAGAGGTCTGTACCACGGACTACTAATTTGTGCAATAATCAACATTTCAAGTCTAGAGTATACGAATTGCAACGACTTGAAAATTTAAATCATTCAGTTACAACAATACAATATGAATTACTTCAATAGTTTGGTTAGTTATTGATTACAATAATAGAACCAAGATTTACGAAATTTGGAGTTATAGAGTTTATGTTTTCATCTAATTTACAGGGAGTTTAATGAAAAAAATTCGAGGCATGAGACAAAATTACGAACTAATTTCCATATTTTATTCTACATTTATAATTACGATTGTTTATAATTTATTATAACGATTGTTATAATTTCATTTTACCTGAAAGAATGACATTACATCGAGGAAAAAATCCAAAATATCTTTAACTCAAATGATAGTAGTCACTTGTGTTATATAGAAGGCTGTAATCGAATACTGAACATCTATAACGCGTTAAGTGTCTAACTAAAGAAAAAATAGTAAGACAATTTTCTAAATGACATTGGAAATATCCTAAGAAGCGATCTATATGTCTCAATCATAACTACTTATTACATTTTTCAGTGATTATGGCATTTAGTCCCTTTAACAGTTTTTGTGTGTTACTAATGCCGAATAGGGCACTTTTCTGTAATTGTCCCACTAGTAAAAAAACTAAGTTTTTTTAAAAAATTATATTTTAACTATGTGCCATAAAACATATGATTACATGTAAAAAAATATTGTGGATCCTAAAACTTCTGCCAATACTCAGGAAGCAGAGCGAATATGGGGCTGTGCTAAATGGAAAAATAAGAAATTCGTGGAATCACAGAAGTTGACTTGTTTCGTATTCAGCAGAATTTATGTGGCTCCAAAAATTAGAACGACCTATCCATTTACCTCAATTATAAAAGATATTCACTATTTTTACAATAATTGTCTTCTTGATAATAATTAATTTTTATGAATGAAAAATTAGAAGAGTTAAATGCAAAAGTATATTGGTTATTCCAATTATTTACATATAGCAACTAAAATTCTCAAGCATTAGAGCATTTTGCCTTTATTTTTATTGAAAAAATATATTTTTTTTACTAGTCTTGGTCTTGCAACAGTGAGGCGGTCTTAGTCTTTTTGACAACACTACTCTTCACTAAGGATATGTACTGGGCGTACAGAACATCACCGATGGAAATCATATATATTTTGAAAGTGCAGAGCCTTCCCTGATAATAACTAGGTCATACTTCTTCGCTAAGTACATTGCGAAATTGGCGTCACTCCCGAAAGATCCTTTAAATGCGATTAGAGTGGAATCATCATAATATATAATTCAGAGAAGCGTGATATAACGAAGATTTATTGAATAATTCCCATCCTGGACCAAAATATGAATTTACATGGAATCCAACAAATTCCAGACAGTATCAAACCTTCTTGGTGTAACTGTGAATGTAAATTTATCAATATCTAAAGCTTCCAAAGGCTCAGTGTGGCCTATAGAAGTTCAGAAAATGTTCTTGCTGCTTTAAGAAGAATTAAAAGAATACAACGTAATGTATACGGATGCATCAAAAGCTGATGATTCAGCCATAGGATGCGCGGTAATCAAAGGAAATGAAACTTATCTTTGCAATTTACCAGAAGCCTTCTCAATCTTTTCAGGACGGACAACTGCCATAAAGGAAGCCTTTTAACATATAGTTATGACCTTGTCTGCCAGGCAAACACCAAAAACAATTATTGTGTCCGATTTAATGAGTGTACTTCTGGAAAATATAGAAACACGCGACAGCAATTGAAATTTTAGAACCTATTTGGATCGGTAAAGGGACAGGAAACGTAATATATTTTATTTAGACTGGGTGAGGCAAGAAAAATCCCAGATAATAGCTCAATGGAATGAGACCTGGAGAAGAAACCCCACCCAACTAGCCAAGATAAAAACAGATAATGCTAAATGGTGCACTAGTAACAGGAGATCAGGAAGAGAAGAAATCCTGTTTGGAATTTTCCCGTCGGTTACAAACTAATAGCAAAAATACGCCAATTATCTAGTTTATGTTACATTTTAATTAGGTTATAATTTGTATTACTGGGTGAGCGAAACAATACCCACTCAAGCTGCTCTGCTGGGTCGATTTCAGCAAAAACCCTAACCATCCCAAACTTAATGTTGCCCGGAACCAGTCACTTCGCAAGGAAAAGATCAAGACCGCCTAACTGTTGCAAGACCAAGACCAAAATCGATTAAAAAATTTTTTTTTTCTGTGAATATAAAGTAAGGCAAAATAGTCTCTAATACTATACAATGTTAGTTACTGTGTGCTAAAAATTGGTATGAGCAATATAATTTTGCATTTAACTCTTCCAATTTTTCATTCCGCCTTAGTTAGGTTTTCCCTATTTGAAAAATTACAGTAACGTCTCTATAGTAATAGACTAACAGGTAACTGCAAGACCGTTGCGAGACTTTTGGGCAAGACCAAGACCAAGGAGAAGGATCGTACGAGACCATAATTACTTAAACTACACAAACTTATCTTAAATACATAATTTTAGTGCAGTACGACTTATTGTGTCTGAGCTAGTTTATTCACAGACACATAGACAATTTCACTAGACTTTAGTGTTCTCTGAACTCACGGATATTTGCGTTAAAAAATCGGATTTGAAATATTCCACGAACGTAAGTGGTATAGACCTTTAAAATTCGCTATAATTGACAAAGTTGCTTAAATGTTTTGTTTTTTTCCAACTCTTATTACCAATACTATTACTGGATAGAATTTATAATCTTAGTTACGCTCATTTCGATCCCTTATAATTCTCGAAAATTTATAGAAAGATTTCTGCAAGAAATCACTGTTTTGAAGTTTTAGATCAATGAATTAATAAAACTACAACAGTAGTGGTTTTTTTGTTCCGCGTCGAGATATGGGTCAAAATATTCCTCCTGTGCAATTAGAAACTGTTCCACTGTTTTTAATTAACCTATTAATCAAACTAATTCCTACCTGTACTGCTGTTTCTGTTGTTATGAACGGACCGAATTGAAGGTTCCTGAGCAGAGAACAACTTTTGGAAACCTCGTACCATCTCTTACAGACGACTGCTAACTTGGTCTTCACCTCTTCCAAAGGTAGGCACCTGAAGACAGATTCTAATATTTCGTCAGGAAGAGTTTCGATAAGCTCTACATCACTATCTGTCATATTACGAAAACACTAAAATAGATATTTTGACCAAATTTTGTCCGAAAATGTATAAAAACCATTGAAGAAATTACTTAATTTTGACCTATAACAGGAATTTAGGCCATTCAGATGTTAGGTTACTTTTCTATTTATCACATGTTGGTTGACCTCGTTCATAAACTAATTTTCATAAATTTCATTGAGACACAGTAAAAAATAAAAAATGGTTAAGAGTTTCTGAAATTAACTTGCAGCATATGCTGTTAAAATATGTATTTACTATTAATAAAACTGGAGCCTTCGTTACTTATGGTTTGGTAATAAGAGTAATGCAAAAATATGATTTATAATAATAATTTATAATTATTTTGTTCATTCACCTTATTATATCTCATCATAAATGCAAATATATTGAATTCATATAAAACATATAGCGGATCATATTCATAAAAAATATCTGGTGCGCGCAACACACAACATTCACTTACTGCTATACTTTGAATAGAAATTATTTTCTGGCAATGTTGGGCTATTATAAAATTTTTTAAGTGCAGTTTAAACGGAGCTATTGCTTAAAGCTTATAAATCATTAACACCATTAAAATTACAAAAAGTCTATTTATTATATCGATGGTGGGCAATAAAAATCTAGTTTCTCCATCTGTTTTTTATAAACCACATAACTTCAGTCTCTGAGCCTTTCTGCTGACAGAATGACTAACTCCAATTTCAACATTTTTGAGTACTGTCATTTCAATGATATTTAGTTGGAAAAGTTATATCAATACAGACAGTAAGTTGATTCCTGAGTAGGTGATTGCAGTGTTGAAATATAGAACTGTGAACAAAGGTATAAATCTTGCGACAAGAAATATCACTAAAATTAATGATAAAGAATATTGAAATTGGAGTTAATCATTCTGTCAACCAAAAGGCTCATATACGCCTAGAGAGTTTTAAAAGTAGGTCTGAATGATTATGGATTGTAGGACTATTAGATATTAAACTGTTATTTTCCGTTGTAAACTTTACTAAAATGATATTAAAAGATTTTTATTGCCTCCCATGGATAGATCATAAGTTGTCACACTAATTGTAAGTAGATAATATTGGGATTCCACAAAGGGAAAATTCATTAAATTATTCACTAATTTAATTCTCTAAAAGATTACTTGATGACTTTTTGGAATAAACGGCCAATAGATACCTAATTATTTATCTATCATATTAAACTGCATATCTAGAATTATTAAACTGCAGTAAATTTAAGGTTATAAACATATCCATGAAATATTATATTTCACTTCTTCTTTCGCACGAGTACTATGAAATAGTATTTTAATCAATGGCACTGGCTTGATTCGGTGGATTTTAAATACTTTTTTACTTAGAAAAAAAATTTGAAAGTTTACATTCAGTAAGAAATTTTCATTTAATTTCCGTGGAAACGTGTGATTTATATTAAATAACGTTAATTTTCGGAGATTATTATTTCTATTTTTTTTCGTTACCCTCCGTTGTCTTCTAAAACTTTCTATATTAGATGCTATTTTTTCTAAAATTCTCGGCTTTCCAACGATATATTATAAATATACATTCTGACTGTTATTTCCGGAGATTAATTTTCAACCTGGATAAGCATTTTTATATTTTTCTCCAGTTTCCAATTATTATATTCTCTCAAACTTCATATTTAGCCATTTCTTATAGTTATTGTCAACAAAAGAGAGCTAATGTTTTTAAATAATCCATATTAAAGGTACTTTAGAGAAAGACACACATTGGGCATTTAAGCTTTGTAAAATGACATCAATGGTATTAAAAAGACCTGAATGGTATTAAATACCATTTAATTATACAATGATGCACCGATTTTAATCAAAATCGTTAGAGCCGTTTTTGAGAAAATTGTAAAAATGTGTTTCAGCGTTCATATAAAGTCAACAATATAAAAGCACAACACATCAGAACCATATAAAAACCTTAAATAAGCAATTTCAGTTTCGTACGATTTTCCGTTTTTGAACTAAGCTGTTTTACATAAACACAGATAATATTTGCGGGACTTTGTTATTTGGACTCAGGGAACCTCAAAACGTTTATTTCCGTTAAAAACTCAGATTAAAAAAAATTCACGATCGCAATACAATTAGTGGACGGAATTCAATAAAATTTACATTACGTTATTTTCTCACCATTGCCTACATTTTATCCAACTTTTAGCCAAATTGAACGAGCCCTTTCTAAAATATTGCCATATCTAAAAAAGTACGTTTGCGAGTGCGTAAGCGAAAGTGCTGGATGGAATTTGAAAAAAAATGATATGGGATTATTTAGGCACCAATACGCACAATCCTTCAAAATTTCATGAAAATCGAATGAAAGGTACTAGGTGATGTCCGTCACATCGATTTGACTACAGAGAGACAGATACCGAACTAAATTTGATTCTTGATGTCTGAAAAGTAAAACGCGATTGGTAATTTTAAATTCTGAGCACAATTTTTTTTTTAACCTCGTCCGAATACAATGCTTCCCTACCTTCGGTAGTGAGGAAACAGAAAGTCTCAACAATCAAAACACAATTTGGTGGAACTGCAGAGGTGTACCAAACATTCAAAACCGCTCCACAAAACTGTAGACACGAGGAAAAAGTTTAAACCCGTTAAGGTGCTTATCGAACATTAAACCAATTTTCAACGCTTCTAATCCATTTGAAAGGATTGTAGAGATGCGAAAAACCTTAGAATCTGGAGGAGAAAAATCCAAATTTGACATCTTGATAGTAATTAGTCCTACTTCTACAGTTTAAAAACAACGATGCCTTCTAAATATCGTGAATTTCAAATCTCGACTAATGCAAAATTCACTTTCAAGTCCGTCAGACGAAACTTCGATAGTGAACAAGTAACTTATTTCGGGAAAATACGAAAAAAAAACTGATGAAATGGAATCTCTATGACATATTCGATTGTATACAATTTAAAACTACTAGGGATTGTTTTATTTGGCCAATTTAATAGCTACTATTGAAAGAAGCAACGTGGAATTTGATAATCGGTGATTGGAGAAATCGAATGCCAAAGAATGGATTTTGATTAGAATCTGTTATTCCAAAAGTGAACAGACAAAGTCACAACAACTAAACATAACAATTATAGGCGTGGATTATTTTTATATAGCAGTTACAATGCTGTCTTGACTAATGGGCGTTTCTTCGATAATGATATTTCAATTTTTTTTGTTTTTTTTTTTATGAATTATAGATTCAATACATAACTGCTCCCAGACCGATCATGGTTCAGGAGAATGATACAGATATCTATCCTTGAGCTGATTATCTGCAGATTCGTAGTAATGTTAATCGAACATTTTAAAAAAGTTTTTATGAAAAAAGAGGGGATCTCAGTTCCTCCCGACGTCAAGGTGGTGGGGGAGCTTCGTCCCAGTATATGTCGTCTTGACAGGATGAGATCCTGACAGTACGCTGGAGACATTCTACTTCGATATGGCTACTGGTAAGCTGGATTTATTTAGTATAATATTATTTATCGTTTGTGTTAGTAATATAATAATAAATAATGACAGTTGTGCAGTAGTCATCCCACTAAGAAATCATCTTAAGGGACCAATCTTGAAAGGCCTATACATATGATAGTCATCTTACATAAAATATAATTTTTTTTTATAAGAAAGTTATTAATTTGACCCATGACATTATGATCTAATCGACGAAAAGCTATCTTAAATATATATCGTAATATTATTAAAACCAATTACAAATGCCTAACATGACTTTTGTGTGATTGAATGAAAATATTATTCATTTTTCTGTGAAGTACATTTCTTTAGTATTCCAACTTTGTTTATATTTAAACCAACAACGTTTACCTTTCGAAATATTGCTACTGTTAGTACATAAGGCCGGATGTAATATTAAGGATGTTCATTCTTATTCTATTTATGCTGAAGTTGACATTTTGTAGCCTGTAACTGCTATAAGTAATCTGCTAATATGGAAAACAGAAAAGGGAAATCAAATATAAAAGTATACTAATAATTGATAAAGAAATAATCAGTTTTTATTCTCTCTTGAAAAAAAAAAATCAGTTTTTACATACGATCTTTTGTATCAACAGTAAAACGATGTTGTAAATTTGTATTCTATTAAAATATATATCTACTACTTCTGTCATTTAGTTAATTTCCATAATCAAAATAAATATTCAATGTAACAATTAATACATTAAGAAACTTATGAGCGTTTTTCTCTGCGTATTATCAAATTATCGGTATTTAGACTTACGGGGAGGCCATGTCTCTTTTAAAAAATAAAGAATATATACTATATATTGAATACATGAAATGAATAAATATTTTTATAGCACTATTACAAAGATGAAATTATTCTATTTATTCAAATTTTGCTTATATTATTCTTAGACATCGATTCCATTAATACGTCTTTCCGACAATTTAACGTGATAATACATTTTTTCACAAGTTTACAGTTTCCACGTTGTTTCACCGTTTGATGGATATAATGTAATACAAAGTAAAAGCATAATTGATGTAAATGATGCCCTCAAAAATGATTTGTTAGTTTTATTAATAATATATTTGAATGAATTCAAGTTGCCAGAAACTTGAATTATCTTACTGGACCTTGTATCTTTAAATAAATAAATAATAAATAACATATATTAAATGCAATAAAGGAGGAGGTATGTTTATATAAAGTAGATAAATTAAATTATTTAGATATTTTAAAATTATTATTTCTAAATAATTTTTTATATTGTTATTTATTTAGATATTGCTTATATTACAAAGTTGAAGGTTTTATTTTTATTTTTTTATCGAATCACTATTTCTACAGAATTATTAATACCAACCTTCAACCTTGATTACTCAAGAATGATTGTTAGCTCAAATGTCAAGTGTAAAATTATATTTAAGTTTTGCATTTAAACTGTTTTCGTACATTTAATATACAATTTTCAAGATTTAAAAAATATCAAAACGACGTTTATATATTACAATAAATCAACTTCGCCATAAAATTAAGCCTTTCTAAATGAGCTTAATTTTAATGTTATCCATATAAACATATACAAATAAATATGAGTGAGACATGGCAAAATTTCGAGAAAACTTTATATAAATTTTTTTCAACTTGTTTAGTCTCATGCTCTTGATGTAGAAGGCATTAATTATTAAGCATACCTGAGAACATTTCAGTGGGTACGAATCCAAATTACTACATAATTTTATCATAATAGACTAAGTTATTGATGATTGGTTCCAGCCCAAATTGATTTAAGT